GCTGCCCAGGCGGGTCTCGAACCCGTGGGATCAGGCAATCCACTCATCTCAGCCTCCCAAGGCGTGGGATTACAGGCTGAGCCACTGAGCCCGGCTTCCAATTGCTTCTTAACTCATGCTCTTGTTCCACATGTATGTCTGTTTGTAAAAACTCATTACGCTACTCACTCCTGGCCTGTGTATGTATGTTACACTCCAATATGAGGCTAAACAGGTCAAATGTGTGTGGCTTGCAATGGATAAAACCAGAATTGGCCAAGGCAGTATACACAGTAGACGTTACATTAATGCTGAATGAACAGACTAATGGCTGAGAGTGGGACATAGTAATAACAGGATGCCCCTTACTTTCGAGTCCTCCTGAAAAGGTGCTGGTCCAGAAAGACTCACTTTCCAGATGAGCAGGTAACACTACCCACCACTCATCTGAGGTATGGCAAATGAAGAGACTGCCTAAGGTCACACAATTTTGTAAATGGTGGAGTCAAATATGAGCCTAGGTAGTCAGACTCCAGAGTCCAGGCCTTTACTCACTACATTACACTGTTTGGGGAGGAACAAGGAATGCTCCCCAGTGCTCACAGACCCCTATACCCTTCCCCCCGACCAAGATCCAGACAGGCAGAGGTTGTCTTAAACCCCTCTCGTGGGTTGGACAGACACTATAGATACCTGGGAGTGGGAGGGTCCTGCTGCCTTAAGAGACTAGAGGCATGTGAGGACCAGCATCGAACTCTGTTCAAAGCAGGGAAGGGGATGCATGGTGGGACTTACGCTGTTGACTGTTCCACTTAGGGCAAGCAGGGACTGATAGAACCTCAGACTAACCAGCCAATCCTCCAAACAGCTGACAGCTGGACTGGCAAGCATGCAGAACATCTGTTTGGTTAACTGAGTTGCTGTTTGGTTGATTATAGAACTCATAGAGCAACAAGGAGAGGGGCAATTTGAGGAACTGACAACATGGCTTCCTGAACATCTAACTGAATGACAGCCTGTTTAGGACTGGCTGGAGCTGGTGGCCTGACAGTAGAGAAGACAAGACAGTCTCCTGGGGGACTTGCAGGCTGGCTGACTGATGACCCATGGAGCTACTACCTGCTTGGATGGCTGGATGTTGTGAATGGCTGACTATTGCCAGGAATCACAGCTGGCCTGAAGGAATGTCTGGATGTTATACTTTGGGCGCGGCGGGCTATTTGGGGGGAGTTTCAGGCTGACTGTAATCTGTGGCTGCTTGGTAGGCAGCTGTATCTAGTAATCGATTGTCCATCCTGACTGAATCACAGCATGCCAAAGGGCCTGGCTGGAGGGCTTTCACTGATTGACCACCAAACAGTGTGGTTGGTTGGCTGCTGAGAACGACTGACAGTGGTTGGGGCAGATTGAACAAGTCACAGGCTAGCCAACCAACAGCAAGGTCAGTGTACTGCCTGGGTCAGTGACTGTACATGGTTATGAACTGTCTGTGTTGATAAAATCCCAGTCTCCCTGAGGGGCCCAACACATCAGAGGATACTGACTGACTGAGAGTGGAGACAAGTAGTCTGAGAAATGATAGACTGGCTGACCCACTGACAGGTAGTATGGAGACCTCTAGTTGCTCTGAGAGCCTCCCTGGGTGTTGTGACTGATCATGGTGTGAATGAGGGAACTACAGTGACCAACCGATAGTGTAACAGCCTGACAGTGACAGCTTGTCTCACCTAATCACAGCCTGCCTAGATGCTGTCAATGACAGCTTGTCCCACCTAATCACAGCCCGCCTGGATGCTGTCAGTGACAACTTGTCCCACCTAATCACAGCCTGCCTGGATGCTGGCTGGATGCTGTCGTTTATGCGAGGATTTCCCCAGGGAGGATCGCAGCCAGTCCTGGGGTAAGGGTAGGTGGAGAGGAGGGCTGACTGGTCTGCTGATTATGTGAAGACAGGACGGTGGGTCGGTCTGAGGGAACGCAAACTGGCTGATTAACACTGCTGTCTGCCTGCCTCCAGGGAGTCGCAGCTGGCCGGAGGGAACATATGGATGGTGCAACTGACTGGCAGTGTGGATGGGGGAATGGGGGTCTGACGAGACACCTGTCTGGGGCTACTGCCCCATTTATTGTCTGATTCTGATTTGAATTGGGGGACTGAGCAGCTGGATGTGGTGCTAGTCTACCTGGGATTCATGGTCTGCTTTGGGTTAAAATGTGACGACTGACTGACTGACGGTGATAACTGGGGGTCTGACAGGACAGAAAATCCCCATTATGAGTGGCTAACGACGTGATTGGCTACCGGCGTCATAGGCAGACCGAAGTACCGGCAGGGCCTCGGGCAACTTCGGCTCCCGCTGCCGTCGCTGCTGCTGCTGCCCAGACGCACGCTGGGAAGCCGCGGCGAGCACCCGCCTCCAGGACCGAGCCGAGCGGCGGGGAGGGGTCCGGTCACGACTTGCCGGTTGGTCCGCACGAACCCTGCTCCCGGCGAGCCGCGGCCAATAAGCTGCACGTTCCCGGCCACGCCCGCGCGAGCGCTCTTCTCGCGAGGCCCGCTAGGCCCGAATGTCGTTAGCCGTGGGGAAAGATGGCG